GAAGTTGTGGCTCCCTGTCTTTTCAAGTTTGTTATTGTGGGCTTTGTGATGATCAGAATCTCTCTAAAATTCCCCCTTCAGAGGAATCACTTAGAACTTCCTTTTGTGGGCTGAAACCTGTCAGCGTTCCAGTCCCCGAGCCTGAGCAGCAGGCCTGTCAAGGACCCCGGGGATCCCGATGGTGTGTCATGCCTGCCTCTTCAATCCTCCTGCAGCAATAAAAGTGCAGCGAGCAGTCAGGCAGATATTAATATGAAAAGGGGGCAAAAACCTGAAAAAATTGAATTGAATTGAATTGAATTGAATTGAATCTTCATTTTCCATTTGCACAGGTACTGAAGTACAAGTACACTGGAATTCTTGTATGGATCCCGTGGTGAACAACAAACAAGACAATAACATATAGATACATACATAAAATGACATAGACAGACAGACAAATAGATAGATAGACAGACAGACAGACAGACAGATAGATATCCAGAGGGCGACACATTACTGTATGTGTGCCCATTGATAGAATGGAATCCCATCCAGGGTGTTGCTTTGTCTTGTGTGCCCACAAAAGGCACTGGTTTCATTTTAACACTGATAGGGTCCAAATCAGCCCCAGACCTCCCAGTCCCCCTAAACACACGCTGTACTGTTACACAATAAAATATTGGTAGGGTCATGTCTTTACCGTCCTTGACCAAAACTACGCCTTTGGTCCTCACCATAATCCTGTATTGGATAAACAATTAGAAGATGGATGGATGGATGCTTCTTTGCATATTTTCCATACTTTCTTAGTCCTAAGTAGCTCTGTGGTCCAAGCAACAAAGTTCTGGTGTGTACAACATAGTTATTCTATGCATGTAAGCATCATTGAAATGTGGTACATCTGCCCTGTGTGGAGTGAGCATAGATGGGACCTCACTGTGTTCAGTTTAGGGAATTGTTTTGAATTGTTGTTTTAAAGCAGTGCAAAATGTTTAAAGCAGTGGCAAGTAGCATAAACATTATGACAAACTCCAGGGGTGAAGAACGGTACTGCTGATTGGATGATGTGATGGCAGGTCTCACAGTGGCTTCCAATCAGGGCTTTTTCACTTACAGAGTATAATCAAACAAGCCCCCACCCCCTACCAAGCACATGGGCGTCAGCCGATAACACTGTACTGTTGTGCCAAAACAAAAAAAAAGGTCATGAGACCACCCCAGCAAATCAGTCCATTGTGCATTACGCACTCAAGTATTAACCACAAATTATTGCAGGCATAAGTGAGAAATGTTGCTTACCTATTTTATAGCCTGCATAGTACTTCAGTATTATATACATCAAGAAATTGAACACATGGGTGTCAGAGGGGCACGGATACCCTGGCACATTACAGGGGCCTTTAAAGACATAAAAATGATACACAAGATTTGGCAGGGGAGGGCCAATGTGATATTTTGTGAGGGGCCCCAGAATTTCTAGCTACGCCCCTGATTGAACAGATTCTTCCAAAGCAAATGTGAAAAACGTACTATAAGGACTATTATAAAGCGCATGTTAGGTGGGGCCTTGTGTGTGTATTCACATGTAGACTGATGTCCACGGTGAAATTAGATGAATATCCTCTGTTTGAATAACAGAAGAGGTCCTGGCTCAGTGGTAAGTACTCAGATGCCTGAAATATGGGACCACCTGGTGTGCACCATGTCCCAGCTGTGCCTTGGGGACACTGCATGCTAACCACCCTCTGTGGCAGTGTGATAATGTACAAACATCAGGATAATGAATGCAAGGTTCTCCACCCCCAATGGAGAGTCAACAAAAAGCAAAATATAACAGAAATAGTGAAACGCAAGATCTGTTTCAAAAGGAGAGGCCATTGTATCATATTGTAATTCATTGGACATTTAGTAGCTAACGCAACTCTATTGAAAATAAAATGCTGTTACAACTTCATAATTTCATATACACCGATCAGTCATAATATAAAACCAATTGCCTAATATTGTGTAGGTCCCCCTCATGCTGCCAAAACAGCTCTGACCCATCAGGGCATGGACTCCACACGACCTCAGAAGGTGTCCTGTGGTATCTGGCACCAAGACATTAGTAGCAGATCCTTTAAGTCCTGTAAGAGGGACCTCCCTAGATCAAACTTGTTTGTCCAGCACATTTCACAGATGCTTGTTTAGATTGGGATCTGGGGAATCTGGAGGTCCAGTCAATACCTTGAACTCGTTTTCATGGTCTTCAAAGGTGTGTACTTGACCTGCAATAAGGTTTAGGTGGGTGGTATGTGTCAAAGTAACATCCACATGAAAGCCAGGACCCAACGTTTCCCAGCAGAACATTGGCCAGAGCATCACACTGTCTCCACCGGCTTGCCTTCCAATAATGCATCCACCTCAGATCCTTACACCTGACCATTTTTCCTGCTTCCAACACATCAAGTTCAATTACTGACTGTTCGCTTACCTAATATATAATGGCGCCTGTCAAGGGTGCCATTATAATGAGATAATCAATGCTATTCACTACACCTGTCCTGTCATGGCTGATTGATGTATGTTTCACTGTTACAACTTTAACCTTAATCTGTAAAAAACATCAGTGAACTATAATTATCTGTGGACACTTTGTCCAATGTTAGTTGATGAGTTGAGATATATGATATTTTGGAATGGCATGAAAAAATTGTGGTTTTCGATGTTTATTACTATTCATACTTCATCAATACATAATTTACCTCAGAATAATACAGGCAGTGTTTTTTGATGTGGGAAAACGTTGACAAAACATGAAAATAGAAATTTAAATTCACAATTGTTTCCACAGCCATGACCGGGTTAAACGGTTGTAAGATGGATGGATAGACATTTATAAATGTTGAAAGAATGAGTCCTAAAAACTAAAATAAAAGTTTTCTCATTCCAGTTGATAGTTATTTAGACACTAATGTAATTTATCAGGAATTGTACATCCTCGCATATCCCCCCAAGCAGGTACATTTTGTTTGAACCTTACTAATTACGTAGCGGTTATTGTTATTAATCACTTTTATTAATTATTTATTTTATCGCCCGACAGTGACGTGATCCTGCGGGCCTCGCGGTGACGTCCCCGTCTTCTCGCGATATTACGGTGTGTCGCCCAAGCTCGCTCGGCTCTCCCCTCATACGGCCCGGCGCGCTGTGGAACGGCGGCAGTGCGGAGCACACCCTCCCTCCGCTAGAGAGAGATCGGGAAGCCCCGGGCAGGAGGGGGATGAAGATGGCGGACGCCAAGCAGAAGCGGAACGAGCAGCTGAAGCGGTGGCTGGGGTCGGAGACGGACCTCGAGCCGCCCATCTTGAAGAAGAAGAAGACGAAGGTGAAGTTTGACCAGGGCGCCGTCTTCCTGGCCGCCTGTTCGAGCGGCGACACCGAGGAGGTGCTGCGAATGCTGGAACGGGGCGCCGACATCAACTACGCCAATGTGGACGGTCTCACCGCCCTCCACCAGGTCTGTCTGCCGGTCCTCTGAGGTCGGTACGTTAAAAATGTCCAAAGCGGCACTTGCTGGCCGTGTCCAGTCACCGCGCCCCGGCGGCCAGTCTCGGGCGAAAACGGCAAAAGCCGTCCGCGCTCGAGCTCTCCCTTCGGCAAAGCGAGCGAGGGAACAAAATAATACCAAATGATAGATATATGGCGCCTGACCCGCGGCCGTCACCGTCGTGTGTCCTGTCAAAACATGCGAGTGTGCGGCAAGGGCGGTTCGGGCGGCGGCACCCGGCGGAGCCGAGCCGAGCCACGGCGGACAGCCGCCTTCCTCAGGCCGGGTCGCTTCCTCCGCTGGCTGCGGAAAGCTCGGCCTCTATCATGGCAGGTTTGAATGGTTAACCGTCTCGGTGATCATTTCACCCACTTTTATTCGCTTACCGTTTGTGATTACACGGTTATTCTCTGTCAGCTGGCTGCTGGTTATCGCTTGACTAGCACGTCAGGGTTACACCTGGCTATTTTAAAACAGTGGCTAACTAGCTGTGCGTGAGCTTGCGCTATTTTCCCTCGTATGTTGTGATCTTGCTGCTGTTCTGTGGTGTAAATTATTAGCAGAGATGTGTATATTTTATTGTTTTAAACAATCTTTACTCCGTTTAAACGACACACCTGCTGTGTTCCGAACACAAATCGCTCCATAAATGAAGCGGTAAAACCCAATTTGCGCAAGGTGGAGTCCCGTGTTATTGGCATGTAAGATACTTACGCGTATGGCTCTAACCATCACAATACACCCCCACGCATGGAGATGGGTGAGAGTGCAGACGTCTAGCTCCGTTTTTGCGGTGGTATGCACTTCTAAAAATGAAAATAGGAAGCGATCAAAAAGCTCGCATGCATCATTTTGTACATCGGATAAGGAGGAAAGGCCGGACAGTGACGGAGCGCTTTTAAAGGTTGCTGATATGTCAGTAGGTGCGTTGAAGTGCATGTTAGGATTGACAGATCATCCAGAAAGAATTTTTACTGGCGATTCCTCTGTATCTTTAGTGTGTGGTTCATCTGAATTACTGAAATACAATTGGCTAAGTTGTAGTTTTGCAGGCCAGGAGGCTAATGGTTGGATAACTTAATATTATATCCTGCAAAGACTTGGTATATAAACTGTGTCAGGTCCCTGCTTTCACTTAACTTTAAAGTGGAATTGTGGTCTCAAGCCTGCAGGGTTGTGTGTTTTATGCGTACCTTGAGTTTTGCATGCATTTAGGTGTATGGATGTTTTCTGCCATTTCCTTCTGTAGTCATAACCATGCATGTAAATTCCTCAAATTTCCCATAGTGAGTGAACTCTCTGATGGACTAGCCCGCCAACTAGGGCTAGCCCTGTGTTCTGTGCCCTTTCCACCTCGGAGATAATCCATACTCATTGTGATCCTACACTGGATAAGTTATATAAATCATGTGTTACTACTTAAATTGTGGCGGTTTATGTCTCTTAATGACCACAATAAGATAAAAATAATTCAGCATAAATTGCTGTTCTCGTCAAGTTTTCATTGAAAATTTATTGTGGATTCATTAGCATTGTGCCTGTCAGCAATTTTTGTGTTTGTTTCCAAATTCCCATTATTGTGAAACCCGTAGATGATGTGGTGTTTATATTTATGCTGCTGAGATACTCGGAGAGATCCTCTCCTTTTTTATAATCCGCAAGTGGTTGAGACACAATATTTGATCCAGTTTTGGAGCTGTTCACCATTGTGTATGCTTGGTGGTTCACAAGTCGTTGCCACACACAAACTCTGCCTCCTGGGTAGCTTCCAGATGCCAAGGCTTCTGCAGTTTCAACTTGTTTTCCTGCCAGACTGGGGATCTTATGGTCAGTTTTCCCATAAAGTAGACACGCCTTTGACAAACGTTGATTTCTGCGCTGAGTACTTTTTGAACAGGCTGCCGCTTTAAACAGGAGGGGATGCTCTGTTGAATGGGACCTGTTGACTTTTTTTGGAACTGCATCTGGCGAGGAGCAGCGCAGGGAAGGAATGCTTGAGGCTGCCGTCAGACCTGACCATCTCTGGAGTTGCATAACGCTGTTCCTGTATGCCGTATGTTTGTTTCAGACCATAACACAGCAGCCCAAAACCCAGCCCCATGGCGTGTGCGTATGCAGATGTGGCAGTCCTAGAATCATATGGAGATCCTGATGGTGATTTCAAGGAAAGTTCCCTGGAATCTCTTCATTAAAGGCCAGCCTTCATTGTTGAGTCTGACCACTGCTCTGGGACCTGTCCAGGAAGCCAGTGCATCAGTTTAAGAATTCCATTCTACAGTGGCATACCTGGCTTAGCATTGTGGAAGTTGTGGGATATATGGATATACTGGCACTCCTGCTTTATTTCCTATGTTTAGGAAAAACAGGCCCATATAATGTTAATGTTTTGTAGGGGACAATAACATACTGATTACCAGTTTCACATAACATGTTTTTAATGGCTGGGTCAGATAATAATCAGCCTTAGCACAAGTTGTAATGTGTGCAGTTGTGCTGGTAAAATAAATTCCGCTATTACATTCAGGATACTTACTATGGAAAGTTGTGCTTCTGTCAGTAAACCGTTTCCGCATTCTGCATTTCTAGCTGCAAGTTAAGGTTTTCTGAAATGTATAAGCAAGGTGTAGTGGGTCATGTCTGGTAGTTTTGCTCTGCAGACTGCAGTGGGGGTGGATGTACCTTGTATCACACAAGACTGATGGCTCTAATTTAGATGTTCATGTACTCAGCTTCAGAGTAGTTGTTTTCACCTTGAGGCTAAGAAAGTAATTTGACTCTCAGGCTGTAGTAATGGTGTGTAAATTTCACAGACTCGATGCTCAATGCCACTGTCCCCCCAAGCCTGACTGTGCCCCGTAAAATAATTGTGGGTGTGTGGAATTGGGGTAGGATGGCGATGATGGTGTCCTATTGTCTGCATTTGAGAATTCCTCACGTGACAACAGACGAAAAGTGCAACTGCATGGTGCATACATTCCTTGCCAGAATCCCGTGGCCTTGGCCCCCAGATCCATGTGACAGTTGTGTCACTGGCCACTTTTTGCTCACTTCCGTCTGTGCACTTTGCCTAGAGGGGGACCGACACTCTTTGGTGGCCTTTATCGTCCCTGTGCTCTTCCTGTTGGCAACTGTAGCTTTATTTAAACGCTTCTGCTAATGTTATGTAATCGGCATAATGGCTGGTGTGGCTCTGCTAAGTACTGATTTGTTATAAATGCCCTTGGTGTGTGTGTGTGTGTGTGTGTGTGTGTGTGTGTGTGTGTGTGTGTGTGTGTGTGTGTGTGTGTGTGTGTGTGTGTTAACGTATCAAATTGTTTTACCTGCTCACATAGCTTAGAATGAACAGAATCCATTGTCATAGACTTCTTTGCCCGGAATTGATGCTAGCCCTTTAAAACAGATGCTATACCATTCAAATATGGCATAAGACCTTGTAGGTTTCTGGGATGTCTAGCAGCATGGATGCTAACGGTTTCTTTGGCACCCTTTGACATGGTTGCCATGGGAACAGTAAATTCGAAGGCACAGCTGTGGGATGAGGTTGTCATGTTTTGACTGCTTGCTTTGGTGCTTGACTGGGATGGCTGCTGTTTGGGTTTTCTTCTCCTCTTCTCATGTCTCCACCCAGCTATACTCTACTGTTTGTGCTGCATGTGACCTGTGCCAGGTGAATCCATATTAATTGTGCCATGACAGAGTCAGAAGATGAAAATGATCCCTTTTCTGGTTCAGGGTGCTGGTGGGCTCTTTTAAAAGCTGCCTTGTCAGTGTTACTTAGGCGTTGTTAATCTACAAGATAATTATATCAGAGTTTTGTTTATGCTTCTTTGCTAATGTGCATTGTTGCAATTCCACTCATGTTCTTTGGATTGTAGGTGCTGATTGGCTCTAGTTGTCCTGTCATTCCTTTCTTGATTAACGATCACATTTTCAGTGAACATTTTCAGAGTAACATGATGACAAGTAAAACCAGGCTTCCACTGGATATGGGCTTATCTGTATGAATTTTGCGCAATAACAAAGCAATATTAAAAAAAATATAAAAATGATTTCCAATATTTCCAAACGTGATAAGCATACCAACTAAAATGATCTGCTTGACCTGATGTGTCAATCCATACACAGTTGAGTAAATAACATGTACTCTGTGTTGGGTAGATCAGAGTGGTGGTACCCTGGGCTAGATTTTCCACAGCATGCTGAATATGCACCTGGCTGTTGCAGCTCTCTTTGTAGGCAAACCAGCAGCAAAACGCCACAGTCAGCTGGTGAACGCTCTTCTTTTGGGATGACGGCATGTCCACAGCCTGACTGGCCAAGGTTCTCTTCAGTTACTCTATAGAGGTTTTTGTGTCACTGTTGCCTTTGACTATCAGTAGTTTTTTCATGCTGTCAACTTGCCCAGGACATATGCAGTCTGATGTGGTGGGACGCTAGAAATTACTGGCTGGCTTTGTGAATGTGAAGTAGATTTTGCAAGTTTGAAATGAAGAAGAATTCCGATGGAAAATATGCTGTTTATGTCAAGCTTTGGCCAGTCATTCCATAAAGATATTTTGACTCTCTTGAGTGTTTTCTTGATTTTGCCTAAATATTGCTGATAGGTTTGCCTGGAAAGACTCTGTGGATGGTCTCAATCAGTCTCTGGCATGTATGATATCAGCTACAGGAACATCTGTACAGCTGAACACAGGCATGCTTCATTGGGCTAGGTTGTCCTCTGGGCATGAGTGTGGTAATTTTAGGGACGCAGATGTTGATATAGTTGATAGTTTCTTACATAAAATACTCAGTGTTGCCACTGTCTGCATATCTCCAGTAGCAGCCTGGGGGGCATTGCCACTGTTTGAAAATTTAATATGAGTTTCAATTTTTGTGAACTGTAGTATTTTTAAGAACTTGGAAGAGAGATGGTTTATGTTCATAGGAACAAAAATGAATGGTCCTTTAAAACAGGTTTAACAGTCGAACCTACAGAGCACCTTTTTACTGGATAAATGAATAATGGGCAGTCATTTCTTCATACTGATTTGAATTTACAGTCCTTAACAGAGGTTAAGAAACCAGCACTGTTGCTTGACATTCATTTGAAATGTTCAGCCTGTCTGAAGACTTATTAGAGGGTGCCATCTAATTTAATTACTGAAAATAATCCTGCATTTTGTAGTGCATGATGATCAGTGACTGATGGTTCTCATTGCTTAGTGCAATTATGCACCTTTTATGTAATCTGTGCGACCTTTCAGGTGGAAGTAAAGTACTAATGGCTAGGGTCAAACAAAAATTACAACGGGTTGGAACATGTTGTGTGTGGCTCACAAACTGTTTGATTCCAGTGAATGTTTAAAATCGGTTTTAATGTTTCTAAGCTTGATTATTTGCCTGGCACTTCATGGAGCACTGCTGGTTGTCTGTATTGAGGTGGCAGTGGAAGAATGAGGGGGAACAGACATTTTGTGAAAATGTAGGTACTATTGGTCTTCCTGAGGCCTGTACTATGGAGCGGGGTTACTAACTTATCGTGGTAACTTGTCAGATTTAAGGTAGTCTGGGCAAAATGTAAGTAAACGAATATGAAGTCCATTTAAACTGTGGTACCTTAAATCCAACAAGTTACCCCGATAAGCCAGTAACCCCACTTAGTAGTACAGGCCTCAGATCTTTAATGCTACCGTGTGGGTTGCAAGAGGTTACCAGCTACGTTGACACTTTTCTTAAGTAAACTGTTACGGGAACACTAAGTTTGGGAACACTGTACTGCTGCCTGAAGAATGAGCTGCTAAGTGTCTTTATAGTGAGCAAATCTCTACAATGAAATGATGGGTTTATGTATTTTTGTCATGTTTGTTAAATGGTTGAATAGATACAGACCATTCTTTGTCTCTGCTGCCTGTGTCCAAGATCGCAGCTTGTCAGCTGATTGATAATGGAGATGATTTTTATATATCACATGCTTTGTTTGGATGCTGCTGCCAACCTACTTCGCTGATAGAATATCTAAATCTCCATTAGTGCACTAGAGCCCCACTTACAACAAAGGGGGAAGTGGGTGCTTCATGGTAGAATCTAATACGTTTGTGTAGCAAAGCTCTATTATGCAGCCAAACGGTCACCTATGCTTGATGAGGGCTGCAGGTCCTTGGTGTGCTCCTCCTGCCTTGGGGGGGGAGGGGGGGGGCAGTGGGTGTCGTCCTGTGTATCATTTCTGGCCTGTGTCTTTCCTCATTCTCTTCCACTGATTGGTTCCTTATATATTTTTTTCTGTTTCGCTTGTTGGAAATGTAACTTGCATAAGCACTTCATTAATAGGTGATTTTTACATACACTGCCTGGCCAAAAAAAAAGTCACACACTTTAATATTCCATTGGACTGCTTTTAGCTTTGATTATGGCAGATTCATCTATACATTGTTTCCACGTGCTAATGCAAAAGTCAACAATATTTATCCAGAATTGCATTTGTTTCTCGTCAAGATCTCGTATTGATGATAGGTGAGTTGCCAGACTTTCAATGGGGTTAAGGTCAAGACCCTGTGGTGGCCAATTCATGTGGGAAAATGATTCCTCATGCTTCTTGAACCATTTTTTGACAGTTCAAGCCCAATGAATCTTGGCACTGTCCTGGAATATGCACATCCCATTAGGAAAGAAAAAATCCATTGATGGCATAACCTGGCCATTCAGTATATTCAGGTACTCAGCTGACTTTATTGCTGCATACTGAGTTCTAGTAATGATCCAGTCATTGGCTCTTGAGTACTTGCTGATTTTAAATTCAGTTGTTTTTTTTTTCTGGCCAGGCCTCGTGTATACTTATTTTAATTAAACCTTCAATATTGTTTATGATTCCATTCAGTAGAATTTTGAGTGGCTAAGTAGTTGTTTGGTGTAGTCACCATTTCTTTTGAATTGGAGATGCAGGCATTGATTGCTTTGATCTTAGCTGTCATTTGGCAGACTGCTGTTTCCCAGAACCACATTGCCTGACAGTCTGGTACTTCTGCAGCCATACACAAAGGATGTTAATGCATCTCTGGAAGCAGTGGACATATCAATGAAAGTTTTGCAGCTGACCTGAGTACTTTGTCTTCTGAAATAATGACTTATGTGAAGGTTGGTACAAAGTAAACTTAAATAAAATAAAAAGAAAGAATTGGGGGAGGGGATGATTGGGGCAGCAACTAACAGGAAGTGTGTGTTTGTTTTTTCATTTCCTTAATGAGGCTTCGCGGCTCAGCGAAGATTCGACCACCACCCCCTCAGCCACTGTTAGCTTTAATCTGCTCTTCCAGGATGACCTCTCCCCACCCCACCCTTACTGTTGACTAGCTGCTCTCACTGCCTTAAAAGTGCCCGGCCCATGCCTTCGGCTGTTGGTGAGGCCAGTGTCGTGTTGTGGCCCCTTGCAGGCGAAGTCCTGATGACTATCTGTGTGCTTGAGGGGCCCGGTCTGGCCCTGGCGGTGAGGATTATAGTAGCTAGACTCAGGATGAGGTGTGGTAACCTGCCCTCAGTTTGGGGGGTGGGGGAAGAGACATGCAAACATAAACTGAAATTGAACTATTTATATGTAAAGTTGCATTTTATTACAGTAAAGTCCGGTCATAACGGAATATCGTCTATAACGGACGAGATCCGCTGGTCCCGGTTGTGCGCCTTTAAGAACATGCAGAAAAAGCATCGGATATAGCGGACTCGCATATAACGGAATTTCGCTTATAACGGACAAACAATTTGGTCCCCAGGGCTGCTTTTAGCTGAAGTTTTGTTCGGCTATAACGGACATGCAGACTCTGCCTACAAGGCGTGTGGCGTGCCGGTGATATCCAGCGCAGATACGTAGTCGGGATTATTAATAGTCACGCATCTGGTCAGGTAAAGTTGGATTTCTACATGTACAATATAATAATCTATACCACGAGTGTGTCTGCTGGGGTGTGGCATGAGTAAATGGTGTCCTGTAGTTGTGTTCTGGGCATACAGCAACTCTGGATATAACGGACTGTTTTGCCAGGTCCCTTGAGGTCCGTTATAACAGGATTTTACTGTAATAGTTTCTCTAGACAGTTCTTAATTTATTTTAGGGATCAGAGAAAATAATTTTCATGTCTTCATGTCTTCCAGAACTGCAGTCTTGTGAGTTATGTTTCCTGCCGCCAAAATTACTAGATGACTGAAGTATGTAGTGTCAGTCTTTATTGCTGCACTTGGTAAACTTTAAATTTAATTGGTGAAATTTAAAGTAGTGGTGCTTCCATTGTGTGTATCTCATAGGTCACATTCGTGCCCCAATGGGAAGTCTTGGGAACAGGGGCAGCCTTCCTGCAGTAGTCTGATCTGCTCCCCAGCCCCTCTCCTACATGGATTTCTGACACTCAAGGCACTAAGAAACCAATTTGGGTCTGGGTTGCCTCTATTTTGCCTGTTAAACATAAACGAGAATGAGATGTATACATGCACATCTCCAGCCAGCCCCCCGTGTTCTTCCCCCAGTGTGTTCCGTCTGCTCAGGGCTAGTTTTCCACGGGAATCCCAGGACCATATATGGACAGCAGTCACAGCTCTGCCTGCTCAGCTGGGTTGTCTCAGGGGGCTGGTCTGGGATTGGCTGGGCCAAGCTGCAGGAGCTGCACTGCACGGTGGCTGGGCTTTCCGGCCGTGACACGTGTGTGTGCGTACATGCCAAAGATAAGGAGGAATTCCTTTTGTGGAATTATCCATGTACGACAGACCGCGTGCCCGGGGACTTGGTCCCCAAACGGCGATTCCTCTGAGCGAATGGTGGCCGGTCAGCCATCTGGAAACCCCTCCTGCGTCAGCAGGGTGGCAGCTTAACTTCGGCTTGCAAGAAGCCACCGTTTTTGCTGCGCTGACGCTTTATATGGATGTCGGCTTTCCTGGAAAACAAGGCCCTGCCGCTGAGCTCCCATCTATGTATGGGCTGACTTATAATTGGATTAGCTGCCAGATCGTAAAATCAGGATGCACACTTCACTTTCCCTTATTTTTTAATGCCATGCTCTTCATAGAAGAAATTGTTTTCCATTGTCTATTCCACAAGTTGTACCACCCTGGAGAAATTTTGATCTCTAGATTGTTCTTTCAGCTGCAGTAAATCTGCATTGTTATTTTGGGTGAGAAGGTAACTTATTTAGGAGAAGGTGGAAATGGTCTTTAGAGCCTGAAATTCATTTTTAAAAATGGGG